GACTACAGAAGATTTTATCGCACGCACAATTTTGAAGTTGCTGCTCCAGCTTGCTGGCTGCCTTCAAAGAGCAAATGTTACTAAGCTGTGGGAACAAAGACGGAGCACGCTGGGTCGGGTCGGGTCGCGTCGCGCCGAGTCGAATTGAGTCCCTTTACGTCTCTGTGGCGAACAAGTTCTGGGGAAGGGTTGTTGCTTGTTTGATGCTCCGGTCGTGGCATATTGCCACAGTCGCGAGTTTCAAGTGGCTGCTTGGCTCCATGCTTGTTCACCTTGGTCCTGTCGTGGCTCGGCCTCGTTTGCTCCTTTTTTATGTATTCTTTTTTTCCTACTTCTTGTTTACACGCAAATCTTGTTGTTCTTGTTGTTGTTGTTGCTATTATTATTGTGTCGATGGCAAAAGGTGGCCGGTGGCGGCAATGCTGCTTTGGCATATAGCCTAAGCGTAAGCTCTATTTTCCCCGCTGTTTTCGTGTTGATTGAGATCATGTTACGCAAAGTATAATTGCGTCAAGTTTGTTTTTCCGCCATAACTCTTCTTGTTGTTGTTGCTGTTGCTGTTGTTGTTGTTGCTACTGTTGTTGTCATGTTATGACAAGTAGCCTGCCATTTCAGACGGTGGCAACTCCTGTTCGTCCTGTTGCTGTGTGTGTGTGTGTGTGCTTGTGTTTGTGTGCGGCATTGTGTTGCTCAAAGGTGCAGCTGATGAGTGTTTTTCATAACGCGACAAAATCGCTTCATTATAGTGGGTCGCTTGTTTGTTATTTGCTTGCCAACGCCGCGTATGCGCCATATTTTTCCTACTATTTTTATATGAAAATGGTTCCTGCACGTACATTTCAATTACATAAATATGATATAATTTTGCAGAGCCGATGAGTGATTGATTGTCACTTTAAGCTCGTAATATTCGTGTATGCATAACTGAGGCCACAAACGAGCTTAACACGGCTTAATGTGTCGTCGCGAAAAAGGGTTATGAAATGGCATTTAAAATTGTACAAGTATTCTCAGAAAAACACACAATTTTATAATTATCCAATTAATTAATGGATAGTGCCGATTCGCTCTAAACTGCTTGCATTTTGCAAAGTAATTAAAACGAGTGCCATAAGTTTATTTTGCTTCAAAACATAAGTATAGTGCTGGAATCTTAAAATTTGCAGTGAATTTCATACATATTTTTTTATGGGGGGTAAGAAAGGCTTGAAGGATAGACGGACTCAATTAAAAAGACATAAAAAAAATGTATTAAACAAGTTCCTATTTAACAAATTGTATCAAATATTTAGTCTAACTGCCATTAAATCGTAAATATATCTTTGCAATCTCAACTTCTTAATTGCTGCCTTTATCTCTTTATATTCAAATCATCTTTAACAAAGCGTTTACAGAGCTTTAATAATAGATCAAGGAAGCTCAATTCATTGACTTTGATATTTTAACATCTAAGACTGTTGCGTTTTGACGATCAGGACTGAACTAGTTATAATATTGCTAGTTGTATAACATTTTCGCTCATCGCTAAGCTCTCAGAAAGATATTTAAATTGAAACTTAACTTGAACTGCTAACAACTGCATACAATTTCTAGCATGATTTATGATACAGCCACAATATTTCCATGCTTAGTTATTTTATATTTCCTGCATCGAAATAGTTAAGGTCTGTGTGTTTCAGGATAGATTTATTTTTGTCCGTATGAACATTTGTATCACCAAGCCGCATCGGAGTTTATCAAACGTTTCACAAGTATTAGTTTTTATCATTAGTTTATATCCCTGCCATAGGAACGATATATGCAATTAACTTTTCTGTACTGTACTATTACACTGATGTCGCTGAACAGTCGAAAACGAAAACCGCCCCCTAGTAGCTCATTTCAATTCAACATTAAAGCACGGCAGTTGATTTTTTCCAAATCGCTGCTATCGCAAGGCTGGATGGAAAAATCTCTGCAAATGTGTTGATGGCTCTGGTTTTTTGAATTTCGTTAATCTTCAAACCGCTCATTTGTCTATGTTCATCCGCCATTACTTGTCGTTATCTTCAAGAGCGGGTTATTAATATTTTTAAAGTACGATCAAGATCAAAATGTTCTCTGTTGATTCAAAGCGTATCTGAAACCACTATGAGCAGAATTACTTTTCTGTTTACTATTTCTCGCCATATCACATCGCGTGAAGAGTATAAAAAAGTAAAAAAAATTATAAAAAATGTTTAATATAGAAATTGGCTTATTTGGTTAACAAATCAAATGGCAGGCAATCGAAATTAAATGAAAATGCGGTCTGTAAATACTCTGCTGTGTAAATGGACAAGTGGTTAAGCGGTGAAAAAATCGTCAGTACAAATGCGGAAATTATAGTATATTCAATGAATGCAATTTATCAGATTTAAGTGCAACTGTAAATATTGAATATACATGCATCCTATAAGTAGGCAACACATTTTTTCATGGCGGCCATCATTTTAAGCCTCAACTCTTAATTGATATGAATGAGCAGTGTATATGAATGGTGTCCTTAGCAACCTGTTCGCATCATTTATGCGCTGCCGTTCGGGTAAACAAACTACAAAAAAAAAAGAGCTCTTTGCCCGGGCATACGTGTTCGAGCAATTTGCAAATTATGGTAAAAGCAAAGGATAAGTGATGAGTGAAAAAACGCTTGTGTTGTGTGCTGGTAGTGTGCTGGAATCTGCTGATGCGCTGCACTCATTGAGACTCAGACGGTTAAGCCCTCAATGGGCTTGCATGCAACAAATAAGCACTTTGGTCCATAGATCTCATCAAGCTGGCGTCTTTTACGCTTCACCTGAGCAATGGAGCGACAAGTCCTTAAAAGAAAGGGGAACAAAATGCTAGCTTGCTCATTTAAATATACTATATATGTATATGTATATATACAATACATACACCCAGGCAACCAGCTCCCAATATGTACATGCAACAGTTGAGTTTAGTTGACAGCGTCGTTTTTGTTATGTAAGTGCAGTGTTGAAAAGCTGCACACCTCCGCTTCCCACGCCAGTTTCCGCTTAATCGGAGGATATGAGTGCCAATAGCATTTCCTTAGCACACATCCGTTGCGACACGCCGCTGGCATTGACGGTGGCAAAAATGCTGATGGAGATGATGGGGAATGATGATGACGATGATGATGGAGACGATGGGGGTGAAGGTGGTGTGGCGGTATTGACGAGGACGCTGGCTTGTCGGCAACGATACGCTACATTAAGAAAACGAATGAAACGGAAACGAACAAGCGATAAGTGTTGTCTACGTGCTGCTTACTACTTCTACACAAATACATAGATAGGAGAGGGGGAGAAGGGCCTTTGGAGGGTTTGCAGCGGAAATTGGTGCAAAAACGTTTGCGCCTGGCACGATGTGTCCATAATGCCAGTCGGAGGCCTGCCTCCAAAGGCTTACTAAATAAGAGACTTCACTGTCGACGATGACTTCGACGTCTGTCTCTTTGCCGGGGTTGACGTCAGCGTCAACGTGAACGTCTTGGTCGTGTGTCTTCATTTGTCGCTGTCGATGTGTATTGATGTTGCTTTTTACTGTTGGCATGCGTGTGTGTGTGTATGTGTGTGTGTGTGCACGCACAATCAACACAAATTAAATTCAATAACATAACTCAATCATGGCCGTGCCCAAAACCCCACTTGGGCCTGCTGCCCGCAGTCCGCTTCCTATGACCACTGTAAAAATAAATTAAACTCGAATTCCGCTCGGCTGGTTGGCAACGGAAACGGCAGGACCTCTTTCTTTCATTGTCCTGGCCAACACGCTTATCAATGTGCTCGCCGTCGCCGTCACCATCACCATCGCCATCGTTGTCGCTGTCGTTCATTGTGTTTTTTATTTGTTGTCTTTTCGAGGCAACAATTCAACTAACAGCTAGCCAGCAATTATTTATATTATTAAATCCTCTTGAGTGTTTTGCCATTGTTGGCATATTGTTGAACTTGTTGTTATATTTTTATTTTTATTTATTTATTTTTTGCTATATACAGTATGTACTCGTATTCTCCTGCATTCCCGCTTGTTATTTCTTTGGTTTTGCGTGGCGGTTTGTTCAAGGCGTTACTCATGTCTGACCCACTTCGCCGCCTCAAGCTTATTTGGCATTTAGTTTCAGGCATAACGAAAACAACAAAAACAGCAAAACAGAAAACAATATTTTGTTGCTTTTTATTTTGCAGCTAAATACAATATTATTGAATGTTGAATGGTAATCATGCCCTGGGCAAGGCAAAGCTCTAGCTGCGCGTGTTTTGCCATTGACGAGGGTCGGCGTGTGTCCATGCCCACAGGTGGTGGGAGGCAGAGGCTTTGCACAGCTCTCCACAGCCTTTTGGAAATATATGTAGTATGTTGTCTTTAAAGTACAGGACAATGTCGCTGAATAACGACATGCCTTTTCAATAAAATGTGTTGTTAACGATAAGTGATAAAAGTCATTAGCTACAAGATTATTAATTAGAATAAAACTACAAGAACGTTTTGAGGGTTTCTCGAAGAAAGACCTAATGTGGCAAGACCGTGCTCAAAAGATATCTTTTAATGGAAAAAAGAAACTAATAACAAACAAGTCAAATGATATGCTTCTATAGCTTAAATAATAAAGACAATTTATATTTCAAATAAAGATACTCAATTACTTATTAATTTGGCCGTTTAATCTTTAAATAACGCTGGCCCCTTAATAAAATCTTTGTCAGTATTTTCCTAAAGTCTAAAAAACCACGCAACAAAAGGGGGCCAACATCAGTCTAGCTTTAAAGGTGTCGAAAAGCAGTGCACAAATTTATTTAACTTTTAGCAGCTGTTCTACTGAGAGCAATGTTGCCTAATTTATCAGAATTTAATGTCGTAATTAGTCTATCGTTTAGAGGAGTGCTATTTATAATCTCTTGCATATGTATTGTTATTGAAGTCACACTGTATTGCAACCAGCATTTGGAATAACAATTCTCTTTCTCTCTTTTCAGATTCTTTTATCTCTACCACTTTGCTTTCTATGCGTATCACTATCGCTTCAGTGGACAGTACCGCACACTCGCCCTGCTATCCTCCTTCCTATTTATACAGGTAACTATTCAAAAATGTTGCACAAACATTAGCTGCCTCTGCTGGTGCTTGTTTACGCCTGTCAACTACATGACAAATTAGCCTGTACATTATCACGTGTTCACCATACAGAGCTCACGTGTCGCAGTGTCTTTCCGGCAAACCGAATGCACTCAGAGAAAAATGCATTTCATCGCAAGTTTGAGGTCCACCGCGAAATATATAATACTATGGGTATACGAGAGACGTTTAAATAAGTAGCGTTGAAGTAGCAGTTCGTCTTGTGTTCCTTTTCAAAATATTTTCAATGTTTCTGTCTGACAAAAGGCGTACCCTGCAACCTTTGCACTTTTTTTGTATACGGGTATATGCATATATGGGCACATAATGACAACTCCTGTGTTGTCCCCGATTTATCAAAGAAGTGCACTCCTCTTTCTAGAATCATTCAAAACAAGCAGACAACAATCAAAAGTTAGCAAAAGTTATTAGATACGATGTTGCCATTTATATCTTAAGCAAATATATAGGATTTTATGGGGACTAATATGCTCAACTTAACTGTTGATTCAATGAGCTTTTGGAAATAGTTTAGTTGAAATCGTATGTTAGAATTATACAAATCGTAAAACGGTCTTTTCTACCCAGAATACCTATTTTCTTTAAACGTTATTTCAAAACTTTTTAAGGCACTGAATTCGTCAGATAGAAATACCTTTGCAAAGTCTTATTGATAAGTAATGTTGAAGTAATGATAAGTATGTTGAAGAAAAAATTCTGAATTCTGAAAGATTCTGCATAGCTTGTTAAATATTTGACTTAATTAACTGGTATAGTGATTAGTTTTCTGTGGCCTGTTTCAAATTATTTGTTACTTTTGTTAGCTTATAAGGCTAAAAATAAACAAAAGTGAAAGAGAAAAGACGTCCTCATTTATTGCTTTAAGCCGTGAAGTTTGAGCTTTTGGGTGTTATGCTTAGAATTGAAATTGGGCAGAAATTTTGACATTTCTATGATTTATCTAATCTAAACAACAATTTACGAGGATGTAGTTTTGGGCCATTCGATCCTCATGATGTGTAAAATGTATGTCAAAGTAAATATGATATTTAACCATGGCGGACCATGACTTTTGAGTATGATAAAACGTACTTCATAATACTTGTACAGATAGAGCATCATATGAAGCCTTAAGAAGGTACCATGGTGGTTAACAGTAGTATCTGTTGAAGAAGAACTTTTCTTTTTTCTGATCTACCCTAGACGTATCCTAGCTACTAATACCTAGCTATGAGTAGTTCCTGCACATTAATTCGACGAATGAGTTCAATGCAGAAAAGAAATGGAAGAAAAATGTAAGAAAATCGTAAGAATGCCCAGAATGGATCAAATACTGCAGAATACTACATATGTATGCGTAGTATGAAGTATAAATGGGAAAGATTTGTTGGTCACTTTCTTCTCTGAGTGTACTAAGCGTGCAGCTCACGTGCGGGTTTTGTTCTCATTGTGTTTGGACTAATCTTACAAACAGCCTCACTAACGTCAGCAGCTACGGCTGCGTATTGTGCATTGTTTTCGATTACATAATTTTCGCTTCCATTTTCCAGCATTCGATGGTCTTCTTCTTTCATCGCTACGAGCTTCCCGCCATAATGGCACAGAGGCACGTATTTATCATAACCCGCAACCAGAATGGCGCCATGGCCGTGGGTCGCGGACAGCAGGCGGCCCTGCAACGTGCGCGTCTCATTGTGACGCGATTGTTTCGTCAATTGGCCGCACAACGCCAAATCGAACGCGACCGACAGGGACAGGAGGCCGGCGGTGCACCACAGCCCGCTGCCGATCAAGCACAGCAAGCCCAGCAAAACGTGCAAGGAGCGCAAGGCGGGGCGGCGGGGCAAGAAAACAATGCAACACAAGCCCTGCATGTTGCCTTCGCCAATTTGAGGCGCTTGCCTGTGGTAGGACAATGGCTACAGAGACGAGAACAGTTCGCCACCGTGCGACGGGTGTTCCTCGGCCAGGGCGGCAATGGACAGGTGATGCATGTGCATCTCCAACGCATCAATATGGCAGACATTCCATTTCGTAACCAGGCAACCGCCGGTGTGGCCGAGGCAGCTGCGGCGGTGGCAGCGGCGGCTGCAGCGGCTGCTGCAGTCGGCACAGCCAGCGCCGAAGGTACCAATGGTGAAGCGGATATCCTAGCCACTACCAGCACCGACTCAGATCCCCAGCTAAGCGAAGCTACAACAGCAACAGCCACAGCCGCAGTTGGCACATCAGGTAAGTGGAAATAAAAAGGAAAATATTCTTTTGTGCCTTTGTTCGCCGCCTGCTAGCTTCAAAGCGTGCCTTCGACAAACAAACAAACACGACCTCCCACGTCTTTCATCCCCTGCTTTGAGTTCGTTTATTTGTTGGGATTTGCCGTAATTGAGTGGCTCGTGCCATGCACAGAGATATAACTTCATTTTCAAATATTTGTCAGACCTGGCAGCACACTTCATTGAACGCAAGCATGCATATATTAAGCGTACAGGCCACTCATACATGCTATAAGCCATAAACACATACTCGACTATGTGTGTACTCATATGTATATGTACAATATATACTCCTATAAGATACTCGGACTTTATGCGATTACTTGAGAATATCACCCTTGTCTGTGAATTTATTGCCAATTTTTAATAATTAAGTGTACCAATCGTAGTGGTAGGAAGGTGCGCATAAAGTGAAAAAATGCTTGCGAAAATAAATGGATCCGAGCATAATGTTTGCAACGCAAAAAATGCCTGAAAATTCATCAAATGTTGGCAATTTTAATCTGCCATCTTTGCTTGATTTAAATATTTCAAATGGAATGGAAATATAGGTTGTCTTATTTCGTCCTGTCGCGTATTTGCGGAATGAGCACATTTTTATTTTGGTGTGTACCAGAGAACTGAAACGAGTAATACATGTTCGCTAACAATCGGTTGGGGACTCATATTATAATTAACCCAAAATGAGCTCAAAGCGAACATTCACTTCGAATCACAACTTCAAAACTCACCAATGATCGAACCTGGTATTTACAATCATTCATATATATACGTACAGTGATGAAAAAAATAATAGAAACGACATTCCACTTTTCAAAAAAAAACTTCATTTCATAATTTCTGGACAAATTATAAGGGTTTCTTCTACTATGCACGATAATTGGTTATAGGTACTTCATTGTGATTTCGTTTTAACACGTATTTCGGCAGAAATATTTGCTGTTTGCTCTGATTTATAAGGGGACCACGTTTTTAGGTTGGAAAAAATAATAGAAACGCATACACTTTTTGGAAAAATAGTGCATTGTAAAGCGCCCATTAAACGAAGAAAATTTTGTCGTTTCTATTATTTTTCCATCACTGTATATTCAAAATGTTCACTAGATGTCGAGTCTAGCTACCTACACCTAATTCTGTTTTTACACGGTTTGAAAATTACAAATTTTATATTCATATGCTGACACGACTTTATTCCATTTAGCACGATTTTTTACGCGATTTTTTCTGGAACCAATCTACCTTATAAAAACAGAATTATGTGTAGTTTATAATCGTAAAGATATAGCGGAATAGATGCGGATAGCTTGTTATTTTTAAATTCGGCTTATATAAATGGTTGATCAGAATATATATATGTTTGATATTTTAAAAAGTTTAGTTTCATTTTCACATTTTCTGAAGTATAGTAAAATGAATTATCTTCCTTTAACTTACATAATTTATTATTTCAAAAAATAAAGAATGAGTTAACTCTTAATTCTGCGCCTCTTCTTTTAATATATAAACATAGATACATATCTTTGTTAATATCATTCCCAAAGGGTGCGAAACCATTTTTGTTTTTATTAACAGGTTGCAGGCACCACACTGCTAAATATTTCGGGTAAATAATATACTAAGATGACAGTATAAAAATTTGAAAATACCTATAATATAGTACATACTTGTATATGATATTAAATGAAAATGACTGTCGAAGGCAAAGAATGTCACACACACACTGATGTTAGGACAATCCCGCTTCGATTACCATAGTTTCGCCCCCTTTTCGTTCCTTTTTTGGAGCCTGCAATTAAACAATATAATTAATACGAAATAATTTGTTGCCTTCATTGAACAAAAATGTAGAGCTCTATTTTTAGCGACTGGCATTTCATTCTCAAATATCAAAATGTATAGGTACGAATCCGCAAATAAAAATACGATTGAAAAGCTTTCACAACCAAACCAATGCTATAAAAGCAGATACATTCAAGTGTGGGAAGCTTTAGTTATTAAATTGTAAAAAATAAACACAAACACAAATACTTTGGTACCTGTTTTGGCAAATTGGTGGCGTTACCATAGCATCGCTTTAAGAAACATTGGCGGCTTTGTGTCAATTCACAACAGAATCCGTTTTTTTCTTTTCTTTTTTTTTTGAGAGGGAGGACACGTTGCGTGTGAAATCATTCGGAAGATAAATTTAAATTTCATGTCACTACACAGCCATGTGGATTGAGAAGAAATGTTTAAGCGGCGTCCACTTGAGGCTTAGCAGAAGAGCTGTATAGAATATTCGTTCATTTATATATTCATTCATTCATTCATTCAAGCAAACACTCATTCGTTTGGCCACATCATCACATCATATTACAATAAATGTCAAAGAGACGCGCTCAAACATGAAACGAGCCAATATTATCGCAATAAGCGCGCAAATCAAAAACATCAAGTACAAATCAGTACATGGATGGCGTGCAAGGCATAAATAGAGGACGCCTTGTTTTGGGCTCCTCTTGCTGTCTGTAGTACTTGTATGTTTGTCCTTCGGCCTCTTCAGCTGTCTGCCTGCCTCTGTGAATGAGTCAATGCCAATAATGTGTGTATCTCTTCCTGCGTTTATGTCGGCAATCCACAAAGTCAAATTCAAGAAATTTATTTTCATCCTGTTGTGGCTAACTAACTTCAGTTCGTGAATTAGCTTTACATTTTCAAAATTAGGCTGTCGCAATAAAAAACAAGGCTTCCCGGCATTTCTTCGAGACTCCATAAGAGACTCCTAGCCATCCCAACATTTTCCAATCTTGTAATAAGTTTTGTTGAAGAAGAATTTAACTTAAAGTATGCTCGAAAGCATATGAAACCACCACGCATCCGCGCCTTTAAATCATTGTCAGCATTCGTGGGGAACTCAAAATCGAAATAGCACTCGTATGCTGCCATTTCCTAAAATGATTTCCTGCTTTCGTTGTAGCATAAACGTAATAAGTGTATGTTTACAAAATATGTAAGAAATTATTTTCTCAATTCGTTTGAAAATTGTATGCCCAGAACGAATGCGAATGCTTCCTAGATTGTAAAGCCTGTCATTTCCTGTTTTATTTATACTTTATTTCATTTCACGGTTTATTATACTCTGTACATGAAATGTACAGAAGTATATTAGGTTTGCGGGAGCTGAAAACTGTAACAGACAGAAGGAGGCGTGGCAGACCCCACAAAGTATATATATTCTTGATCAGCATGACGAGACGAGTCGATCTAGCCCTGTCTGTCTGTCTGTCCGTCTGTCCGTCCGTATGAACAGCTGGATCTCAGAGACTATAAGAGATAGAGACCACAAATTTTGCACAAAGATGCCTTATGTGTGTATTCTATACGAGTTTGTTTTATTTTTTTGATTTCCCCCCCCCCCCACTTCCCCCCTATGGGGGTTTTCCCGATTTTCCATTCGTATAATCGCCTATATCTCGGAGACTATAAGACTTAGGAACACCCAATTTTAGTCCCAGATGCCTTATGTGAATACGCAGAAAATGTATATTTTGGAATATCCCTCCCTCCCCCCTCTCCTCCGCAAATTTTGTTTAGTTGACTGCTAACATGTTTACACAGCCACGAATAGATGCGCATAGGCATTCATACACTCACACAGACGCAATTGCTATGTAAATGTGCAATTATACACCATTTACGTGAGTTCGAATACCGAGAAAGGTAAAATCGATCAAAAAATTTTTCTTTTTTAATTTTCTTAATTTTTTTTATTTTCTATAATTATTGTAAACATATATACAGAGTATTTCAAAGTCGGGACACCCGATTTAAGCTTTTTTACTTGTTTTTTTCACATCTTGTGCATATTTCAGATGTCGAAACAAATCACGAACGGAAGGAGGAAAATTCGAGGACTGTGGAAGCAGCAGCAACCGTCCTGAATGATTTAACAGGAACAGCCCAAGATGCTCAGGAAACAATGGCAGGCGTCAACAGGACAGCACCATCGGAGGAGATGCCAAGGATTTGGGAAAATCCAAATTTCGTTGCGTCGGATATTATAAATATGCCGGAAACAATTCCAGCTACAACTATTAAAACATCAACAACAAGTGCAGAGCAACAACGAGTCTTGAAGGCTGACGAGTCTAGGCAATTGGAAAGTGATTTGCAAAATGAGATTGCAAAAGGAGAAACCTCCACGCCGCCGAATTCGCGCTCTAGCGTGTTTACTCCAACGAATGTGAAGCAGTTGCCCCTGGCAGCCACAAAATCAGGCACTGTACAGGAAATTATGAATGACCATCAACAGGACGAAAGGACCGCAAACAAAGTTGCTGCAACATCAACATCAAAATCAACAACATCAACAACATCAACAGCTGCAACAGAGTCGGCCGAAGCATATCCAACGTCAAAACAAGGCACAGCCGTTGCGGCAGCCTCAGCCCAGGGCCAGGGCCAGGCCCAAGCGCCAGTCCGAGCCCAGCCAAACACAGTGATGGATGGCATAACAACAGTTGATTTTATGGAAGGCGACAGCTTCACGTCAACAGGAAATGCCAGTAGAATTGTCAGCGGCACAACCAAACCCAACCGCATGGCAAGTGGCTCTGCTGTGGAGGCTGGTAGTGGTGGGGGAAGCAGTGAGCCGTCGGACAATCTAATGAAAACTGCAGAGCATACATCAAACCTAGTGACAACAACAACAACAACAGCAACACCAACAACAACAGCAATAGCTGGAAAAGGACGAGCAGAAGCAGGAGTTGAAGCAGAAAGAGAAAAAATATAAGTAGCATTCTTTGGCTGAGCCAAACAAAGAAACAAACAACAGCATTGCGCCTTTATTTTTGCCACGCCCAGTTACCACAGCAGCAACAACAACAAGGAGACTACAACACCAACAAGTGGAAGTGGAAGTGGACGTGCAAGTTATTCAAGCAACTAGTAAATTTTTTAGATAATTTGTCTGGTGTACTTATGTCTAGATCCATAGCACTACAGGTCTATCTGTCTGTCTGTCTGTCTTTCTGTGTGTGTGTGTGTGTGTGTGTGTGTGCGAGCTTTTGCAGTTTGTGTGTGTGTGTGTGTGTGTGTTAGGGTGTGGATGTGCGTGCGTGTGTGTGTGCACACTTGTGGCTAGACATTTTCATTATGGATCCGTCATGCATATGCTAAAGCTGTTAATTAGTGAATTTAACTAATATTTAAATGCTAAATACACACATATATATATTTAGAACTCAGTCATGGTAATGCACGGCGCGCTCTTTAATTTGGGTCTGCCGAAAACGAAGACAATGCTGAAATGATAAAAACAAAAAATGGCGGCGATAAGCTTGCCAGCTGGCAATGAAAACATGCATATATACATTTTAATTACAACACAAACATACATACATACATATATACGCTTTTGCTTGCTTAATACACAAACGACTAGTCTTTAAATTGTTTTTTACATTTATAAATTGATTATATTTTTTATTGTAATTTTCCACAATTGTATAATATATTTGAAATATTTCTTATAATTTGCACAAATGCAAAAAAAAAAAACAAAAAAAATAATAAACAAACCCACAAAAACAAACCCGCAACAAAGGAAGTAGTAATTATGAATAAAATTTGCTTCTGCGGTTGCAACAAAATGCAACAATTAAATTTTTTATACATATGTATATGTATATTGTATATAAAACGCTACAATGTGTTTGTGTGTGTGCTTTTCTGTCTTTAATTAATCGGAATTGAACTGCATGTACTTGTATATTTTGTTGCATTATTTTCTTATAAGCTTTCAGTCCATCCATTTATCAAATATATTGGGTGACAAGCGTAACTTAACAAAAAGGCAACAATTGTTTGTTTGCATAATGAGCTACCAGATATGTATGTGTGTGCGTGTGGTGTGTGTGTATGTCCGCATCATATTTCTTTTGGATGGAGCCTATTTCATTACAAATACATAATTAACAAGATAGAACGCTACAGTCGAGCAAGCCCGACAGTAAAATAGCATGTACTCTCCACAAAAAAGAAAAATTAAAAAAAAAAATTTAAAAAAAAAATTAAATTATTAAAAAAAATTAATGAATTAATTAATTAAATTAAATTAGAATATATAATTATGTTTAGTTTTAACAGCATACATTTACATCACGTACCTATGCGTGTTTATATGCGTGTATGTATGCAGCACAAAGTTGAACCAAAGCAGCAACAACAACAACAGCTGCGGGCAGCGCTGCCGACAGAGGCAGCGCATGAGCAGCGATTTTACTTATGGCTATACCTTTCTTCAGAATTGACCTATCATGATGAAATTTGTCACACGGACACATTAGTACTAACTGGATGTGCCTACCAAAATTGATTTCAAAATTCCGAGAATTACGGAAGTTATAAGAAGAAACACGAATTGCGGGGGAGTGGGGGGGTGCATCGAAAAAAAACTCAAACTCGTACTTTCTCGGTCTTAGGAGAATATGGAAACCAAGTTTGGTTATTCTAGCTCTTATACTTTCTGAGATCCTTGCGTTCATACGGACAGACGGACAGACGGACAGACAGACGGACAGACAGACGGACAGACGGACGGACGGACAAGGCTATATCGACTCGGCTTCTCATCCTGATCAAGAATATATATACTTTGTGGGGTCTGCCACGCCTCCTTCTGTGTGTTACATACATGCGCACAAAACTAGTATAGCCTTTCACCCTTTGGGTACAGGCTATAAAAATATGTGTGATTTTTTTTCTGATATTTCTTTAATTGATGCTGTAACTGTATTATGTTTCTGATATGATGATGGTACGGCCGCAGCAATAGAAAGGTCTCTTTAAATACATGAGTGTGTGTGTGTTTGTGTGTGTGAATGGAGCGTATTGGTTGAAACCTAAACCTATTAAGCAATACAGCAATGAAATCAGCTCTACTTACTTAAAATTAATAACAAAAGGCGAAGAGAAAACGATATCAGCGAAGACAGAAAACGTATAATTATTATACACTTACGATAATATACTTAACAGCATACATACTAGACTTACAGTTATTGAACCTTTATGTATATGCTATTGCTACAAGTTAATTCTAAATGTGAAAAAATAAACGAGAAAAGTATAGCTAGCCATTTGATTCTCTTTCACAGCCACATTCTCAAGCCCAGTACTGCCAAACAAAAATTACTAACATTTTTATACTGACGAGCCGTTGCTAGTCCTGCAACTGATAACTGATGCGTTGCAATTGAAAATCGGTTGGCATCGATAAGAAATTGTCGGCACTAATCAACAATTTACATCCAGACCTACCGCAACCAAACCATGTATTTGTAATGGAGACAAAGCACGCAGCTTCGACTTTTGCAGTTTCACCCAAAGGTTAAAAAGGCAACACAAGCAACACTTTGTTTGTTTTTATATCCTGTACCCGTAGGGTACAAATGTTATATTAGGTTTGTGCAAAGTATGTAACAGGTCGAACGGAGCAGAGTATGTATGTACATGTATTCTTAATCACCATGACGAAAAGAATCGATGTAGCCAGGTCCGCCTGTCTGGATGATCACCTGGAATTCGGAGACGGTTGAGCCAGCATTCACCAAACTTGCTATTCAAATTTCATTCAAACCGATCAATTCTGAGAAAAGTAATTATTTTAAACATTTTATTTTATTTTTTGTGAACATTTATTTTCTCTTGAACAGTTCCCGCAAACCACGATTTCCATTTCCTTTTCAAAATAACAATGCATTAGCGAAGAAGCCCAAAAACTGTTCCAATGGCATGGTCTACGCCATTGGGTGTACAATATTTTATGGTTTTGCAACGTTGACTCAATATAACTGAACTAAAATAAAATTTCTAAAGAAAGTCAAACGTTTGATGCATTCACACGTTGCCTATATTTATATGGCAGCTACGTATGAATGTATTTAATATAGAGCACAGATTTTTATGAAACTTCAGAAAATAATTATTAGCTTTAAGAATATACCTGCGTCTTTGTACCCGTAGGGTATATTCTTGATCAGACAAATCGGATGAATGCCGAATAAATGCAACTCTTTTAATATCTGATCAAATTGCAATAATATCTAATTAACCCCTCCCGATGGGGGGATGTTATTTGCCTTGCTAAAACTAAAATTGAAATAGTCCAGAAATGTGTACATTACATTTGCCATATTGTCTGGAAAGCCCAACTTATGCGGCTCATTGATACATATATGTATCTCCTTAGCCAATAAACATATAGAAAAAGCTTATATACTCGTTTGTAATTTCATTTTTGAACTTTTTTCATTATGGACACTTCATTTTTAAAAATAGTTCTCTATTCGATGTCAGACCTTGCTTGATTCAACGTTTAAAAAATATTATTTCTTTTCTTCTAATTATAGCTCTATCATTATAACCCTATTTATTTAATATCCTTCTTTTGGACAATGTGTTAAATTGGGAAATATTTTTCATTTCATGTTTGCGAAGATATCGGAAACATATTGCATATTGGTAAGTTTTCATCTTCATACTTATTTCATAAGCTTTGCCATACAAGCCTCTACAAAAAGTCACTGGAAATGCATTAATAACAATTATTGTTTTTTGCTGAAAATGTTATAATTATTATAAGTTATGAATACGTTTCATATTTTTGATTATACAAAATCTAAAATATTATTTAACTCAAACGGTAAAGCTGAATAATTCAGAATCCAGGAGACTTATTTATTTGGTAGGACTAAGGTTAGGTTATTGAATAGATTATATATTCGCTGAAAAGGGAAGGGCTCAGTAGGAGTAAAGTAAAAGACAATAGTCGCGGACCGCCGTGCGTCTGTTCGCTTTAGAGTTTTATTGGAGACTGACACTTTTGCTATACATATTCTTTATGCTTACATTCGTATGCAACAGTGACAGATAACTTGTAGATAACATAAGATTATTATCTGCTTATATTAACATGCGTGCATTGGTACTTATGTTTGTATTGATTTTCAACACCCTTCCTCAATGCAAACATGTTTTACAAAAATTTTCAAATCAAATTTAACAGCTTTGTAAAATGAACATGCTTCGCTTTAGGGAGATTTTTCGTTAAAATATCAGCTATCATTTCATTGGTTGATGTATACTGTAAAACAATTTGTTCTTCGTTTACAACCTGTCTTGCAAAATGATATCTAATATCAATATGCTTTGTTCTTTCATGGTGTACAGGATTCTTAGCTAATTGTTGAGCACTTAAATTATCGCCATGAAGAATAGTTGGAGTACTCGAGTCACCGCAGCCAATCTCCACTATAAGACGCCGTAGGTATATGGCCTCCTTACACGCAGTTGAAAGAGCCATATACTCCGCCTCCGTGCTGCTAAGTGCCACGCTGCGTTGCTTTTCAGATCGCCAGGATATGGGTCCTCCAGCCAAGTAGTATACATAGCCAGTATACGACTTGCGATCGATGCGGTCGCCACCCCAGTCTGCATCCACATAGCCGGTAAGGGGTTGTCCACACTCTTTGTAGTGCAACTTCAGGTCCACAGTTGACGCCAGGTATCGAAGCACATGTTTTACACCCACTAGGTGCTCTGCATGCGGATCTTGATTCCGTTGAGCTAACTTGGCAACGGAATGCAATATGTCTGGCCTTGTTGTAAGCGCCAGCCACATTAACTCGCCAATTGAAGACTGGTAGGATGCAATGTCAACCTTTTGACAATGCTCGCTGGTACATATCACTTGGAAACCAGCATCCAGTGGGGTCGCTGTAGGTCTACAGGTCTCGCATCCATGTTCACGCAATATGTCTTTGATGTATTGCGAATTGCTTAGCGAAATTTCGCCAAGCTCACCGTCGCGCTGCACTTCCATGCCAAGGAACAAATGCAGCTCTCCCTTGTCAACACATTCAAACGATGTTGTAATGGCTGACTTGATGTTGGCCAAGTCCTC